TAATAATTATGGCTTCTTTATTAGGTACAAGTTTCGAGTGATAGTGTCGACGACATCCAACTAGCGAACAGGAAAATTCACCAATTAATAGTCACGGACATGTATGTATCAGCTGTGGCAAGTCACTTTTGAGAATAAGATCACACACATTGTTTGGGTCTGATTCTCCACGTGAGGAACTCATAAGGAATGAAATTGCCCATCAAATTGCACCACGTGAGGTACGTGTTCAACATTTTTTTAATTTATTGAGTGTGTGTGCTCATATCTGATAGTGATACATGTTTTTACTCTGATTACATCCACACAAACTATATCTGACAAACATACAAGCTTATTTATAACATGGCGATAAGATTAGCTTGTCACCACCAGATAGACTGCTAATGTTTTTACCAACTACCAAGTAATGAGACAATTGATTTTTCATTGTTTTTGGACTACTGGTAATTTTTAAGTGCTTAATTATTAAATAATATAGGCCATTAAGTCTGCTTTTGTGCAGTAACAATTAACTTGATAAATATTTTATATGTATTTGAGTTTAAAGGAAACAAATCTATTTTATTTTTATTTAGTTCACTTTTTCACTTTTTTATTTAATATTATTTCAGTTGCCATCGTCATCTCGTGTGTGTCATAATTGTTGGCGAAGGTTTTATTGAGCAGCATCACATTCAACTGCAGAACGGGAACCATCTGAATCATCTAGTTCATCCTCGTTGCAATCTGAAGTCGGTAATGTATTGCACCCAGATTCAAACATTCTAATTTCAATAGAGAATGAAGCTGGGTATTCCCACCTGCTTGGGACACTGTAATTAATAAAATTAAAACTAAACCCAAGCATACCACGCAAGACTTCAGGACAGTAAGTTCATTCTGTGTAGATCGGACCATAAAAAGTTACTCCAAGTTAACACTGATTTCGGTACACCAGTCACCTCAATCCCCCATGACCATGTGTGCTGGAAAGCACCCGAAAGTCGGGAATTAAAAATCAAAGAAATTAAATGCGATAACATCGGTAAAATTAGTTGTTAAAAAACTGTATTTGTGAAAATAAAAACTTTTATATCTTAAAATTCCCGACTTTTTTTAAACCAATTTCTTAACCATTTCATTCCTTTAATTGTATATTATCATATCTATATGCTTTTATATGTGGGCACCCATGGCCGAAATGTCTATGAAGAGTGGGCATTCCTCTTTTGGTAATTCAATCGGCAGTTTTTATTGTCACGAACCTTAAGCTCGTAACAGTATTTAAAAACTGAAGGTAGCCGGGCTTATTATTTTTTAATTAATTAAATAAAAGTACCATATATTTCACTACGCCGGCCATCTGAATTCACTAACGCGCGAGCTCTTGTCGAGTTGGACCTGTGTCGGTTTATTTGGCGCGCTCCGTCTCATTTCGATATTATCGTAGTGTGCGTCGATTGCCGTTATAGTTCCGAAATAGTTAGAAAATTAGTGTTCCGAAATAGATCTCAACTACGACCGCAGTTTTTGATCGTTGGAATTATTTACTTTCGTACAGTATATTTTAATTAGTATAAAGTTCGCACATTATTATTATACCAGACAGTTAACTCATTATAGTTATTTTGATTGTAGCCGAGCTTTCTTAATAGTCGGAATGAGGAAAAATAAATACAAGTATCAATGTGCCACTAAACGTAAAAAAAGAAATATCCTATCTCTGGAGAAATAATAATGGAGAATAAAAATGTCTGCATGCTTGCCACATGGTCTGGCCCAGATTATGCAGTAAAAGAACTAAAAATCAACAGACGACAAATTTTTAAAATTGAATATGTTACCCAAGTTACAAGCGTTTTATAAAAATGTGTACTGCCTGAAATTAATGACCCGAGATAAGCTCGGTCAATGCCGCTGCGGCAAATATTTTTATAATAAAAAAATATGGTAATTGATTGTAAGTACCGATTAAAAAATATTAGTTACAATTGGTTATTTTATTTATTAACACAGGTTGCAACCGTACTATTTATTTATTTATACCACTATGCGTCCGTTAGTAGATATATCCTCTCAACTGTTCCGGTCCAAATGGTCACTTTGGCGTATACTGTCCAACCCTAAACGAGTGATTTATTGCCTACGTGGCGCGTGGCATTAAAATCGCAATATCTTAATAATTATGAATGGAAACTCTATAAAATAATATGTTGTTAGAATTATTGTTAAGTAAGCTAATAGAATATGTGTAAATGTGTCATTCACCTTTTTTATATTTTCTAAATACCATAGTTAAAATGCTAATTGCGATTTTTTTCCAGTTCGGTGAATAGAAAATGTAAAAAACAAACAATTACTTCATTAAATATTTATTTTATTTACAATAAGATAAATACACTTTACAATAATTAATAAAAAAACACAACTCTGCGTAGGGGAGACTGGGGCTGGTAGTGACTGGGGTAGGTACTTACAGCGGCAACGGTGGCTAAACTGAGAACGCTGTATTGTCGTGAGAAAGATACAAATGATCACGCGACCATCGGCTAGCACGCCGCGCGAACCTGTGGCGCCAGGGCTATTGTGAGAGGAGCCCGTACATGTTGCCGTCAAAACCGCATGTTAGTAACATTTTCGTTTTTTCGTAATTTTGGTCTAAAACCTCTTTTCCTTTGAAGCAGATATGTGTGTGTTGTGATATGTGTGCCCTAATCCTTTCTTGTTGCAACGAATTTACATTTATACAGTTATACTTATTTGTGTTTTTACAACTTAACCTTAAAAGGTCAGTTTTGGCGTTGGGGCTAAAAGTAACATTTGCTCGGGGCAGGTTGTTACTTGTTACTACCTACCCCGTAGTGCTGATTGCCGACTGATATATTTGACTTATTTATTGTTTTGCTAATGTAATTTTATTTTTTATTATTTGTTCATCTTCAATTTATACTAAGCTTTTGTTTAATAAAGAAATTTATAATTTTCTAACGGTTGGAAGTTACCTAAATTTTATTTTTATAAGGCGTAAGTCTAAAAAATAAGATTATAATTTTGTTCAACGAAGTTACTATGTTTTTATTTTAATGAGGCAAAAGACTGTTATATAGACAATATAGTTTGACATTGTATACATAATAATTGTTATAAACTGTCATTATTCTCAATAAAAAGTGTTATATTACATTTGGTTTTTGTTGTAACATTTTGCCCCTTATAGTGTAACAACCAGCCCCTGCCGCGGGGCTAAAAGTTTCATGCCTCTTTTCCCAGAATTAATTCATTTGTCACTTCTAATTGTCTGTTATCTAAAATTGTTTTTAAATTAATAACCCGAATAATTAATGAAAATTAATTAATCATTAAAGTATATGAGTTGAACTGTACTTGGGGTAAAAAGTCAGAAAAACTGTGGCCGTAGAAGGAAAAGGGGAGATCTCCCACCGGGCAAGGTGTTCTGCCCGGGGAGCGGCCAACAATCCATGTGATAGTTCGGACATGTTCTATATATGATTCGGAATGTTAATAGCGTGATTTAAGCTTCGGTGTATTTCGCTTGCGGCGCGACGACAGCGCCGCCACATCACCCCCCTGCTCAGACCGGAGGTCGATAGTGCAGTCCGATTGCCGGTGCGTCCTTAATGCCGGTGGGGAATGCATGCTGTGTGCGTAAGGGCAAGTGACACCGGTGCGAATGATATGCCGATGTGTAATGCATGCCGTACTACGCACTGGCAAGTGATGCCGGTGAGAACGATGTGCCGGAGCAAGTGCCAGAAGTCTGCCTTATAAATCTGCGGTGAGTCGAGATGAAGACAAGTTGGACTGGCTTGCAGGAACTGAAGACTGCAGAAGACGATTCTCAGTAGTGAATGGTAGGGGTTCTTGAAGATAATGAAGGCTTGAAAGTTGTAGTTTCCGAAGGTTGTTGGTTGCGTGTTCATCACGTTGGGTAGTCACCACTGTGGCCGTGGTAGAAAAAGGGGAGATCTCCCACCGGGCAAGGTGTTCTGCCCAGGGAGCGGCCAACAATCCATGTGATAGTTCGGAGATGTTCTATATATGCTGTTTAAGCTTCGGTGTGTTTCGCTTGCGGCGCGACGACAGCGCCGCCACAAAACAAATAAAAGAAGTGAATTCCGATTGTCCACCCAGTCTCGGATGGATAGATGTTTCCCATATCCACCCTAGGTTGGAAGGACGGGTAGTTTTAGACGGACTGAACTATTCATTCCCTTTGATTCAATTGTCGTGTACGACCATAGAATACTATAATACACAATAGAATGGCTGTCAACCTTATTTTGTACGAGGATTGGCGTCGCCGGGAGCACACATGCAAGCAATTACGTCGTATTATCAGTTATCACTACTACAAACACATTTTACACTTTCGATTAATGTTTTTGACACATATTTCTTTATTTTTGTTTCTAATATTCACAAAATATAAATAGTTTCGACTTACTGAATGTAGAATATGTCTAATTTATTTAAATTCCATTTCCCGCTGTTCTTTCGACAAGTAATTATTCCACAATTTGCCATTTTTTTAATAATTTGCGTGCAGCGACGCTTGACACGAAAATTGGAAACGATTGTGTTGACATTTATACGTGTGAATTGACATATTAGTGACATGTTTGTGGCTACACGTGCTCCACCCACTCCCCCGTTCTATTATGTATGTAATATAGTATTCTATGTGTACGACAATGGGACCAAAGAGAACTAAAGGACCGAATATAAATGGCAGCATATGGAAACGTGTCTTCTTGAACATTGCGAAGAATTGCATCCACGGCTCCCTATAATAAGCTAATAACGTATTTTATATATAACTTACTACATTATTTGTAAGATAACGAAGCGGTTGAATATTTCCATGACAAAATCATCATCATATCAATCAATTACATATTTATGAAACAATATTATTCTTAAACGAGTAAGGCAATGCATTTGTCCTTTATATTTAATTCATAAGAACCAAGAAAGTGAACAAACCAAAAAAAACTTACGAGGCTGTAAGGCAGCGATTTGAAGTGAATGACAGAGATACATGTCACGCTCTACAACAAAAACGCGCTTAAGAGCTGGAAATTCTTCCGCCATTTCTTCCAGCATATCGTCCAACATTTTTTTCATTTTGCATTTCTCAACTTCTTCTACACTGTAAGAGTAAAAACGTGAAAGAGTAAGTAAAGTCAATTTCTAGAAGACCTTAGAGTTATAGAGATAAAAAGGATAAAACTGTTAATAAAATGATGAAGTAGTTAATATTATACTTCATCTTTTGACTTCTATAATGTTAACCTTATTATGTCGTTACTAGTTCTCTAGCATGCTAATAAATTTAAGTAAATAAAGCAGTTCGCAGGAAGTTGCAGAAACAAAGAATATAATTATATATAAACATTACTTATTGGTTTGTCGCTAATTGCTCACACAGTTTTAAGATATACATATTAGATTAAAGTTTTAAATAAATAAATAAAGGCCTTCACACTGTAGAGCCAATTATTATTTTATAATACATCATACAAATTTTTAATTTTATACTAATATGAATATATCTTCAGAAAGAAATAGAAATTTACACCTGATTCATCAATCTTTAAAAAAGCCTTTATATTTGACATAGACTGTGACGGAAATTTCCATTAACCCAAATCATCTTGTGGGTATTGCAAGAGACGGCCATTGGAAATGCTAGAAAAATATTTCGGTCTTTGAAAGAGTATTTTACATGAGCCATAAACATACGTACATGATAGATAACGTATATATATATATATATATATATATATATATATATATATATATATATACAACATGTATATATGTATACATACATACAACATGTAACATAATTAACGCACTTTGAGAAAGTAGTTTGTTCAGAATCGTTTACTGAATCGATTCCTATCATTTTTAATATAGGTAATTTTTTATCCCAAAAATAATTAAAAGTACGTAAATTACAGTCACACTAAATCTGTACAGTCAAAACAAAATGAAATGGACCTTAACTTAGGGCAATAAGACTTTTAAGAGCGCAGTTTTATTTGTATTATTACTAATTCTGTCATTCAATAAAAATAAAGAAAAATGAACTTTATTTCAAGCACGTTAAAGTCTTTGCGTTCGTGGATTTGTACTGTGACCACAAAATTCTTCCGGAATTAGTATAACTAATTTGATAAATAATCAGTGCATAAAAATGTTTAACTAAAAATTCAGTGTATGTATTATACTAGTATAATGGTCTGAGGGTGTGCGTTAATTACGTTATATATATATATATATACACAAGTGCTCATCCGTGTCATGGCGGTGTAAGAATATCCACTACCCTATTTCATCCCGTTCAGCAAGAAAATAAAAAAATGTGGTTACCAAACCCTCGGTCAAGTGTGGCATTTAAGGAAAGTAAGTTCTAGAAAGTAAGTAAGAGATGTATGCTTAGACTTTGAATATTTGTCTTGAATATATGGTATAATTAATAATTATACATATTAATATATTTGCATAATGCCAAAGTTGCATTACTTAATATAGAAGTACAGCAAAAGTGACCACAGAAAACCTTTATTAATTTACAAAATATTTATTTTAAATAATAAGTGGTTAACCATAAAGCCACCGATAATTTTTATGCATGCAACACAATTAAGGTTTTTAAATTACCTAATACTCTTGTTAGAAGTAAGTAGGTGCCATATAAAACGTATTGTCTGTCCCCAAGATAGAGATGCTATAGCTCTATGTAATGTAATGTCGATTGCTCTGTCACCAAGTTGCACGATACAATTAGGAATCTTTTTAGCCTGAAATGTTATATATAATTATTAATCACAATAACCACCAGCATGTACACACAATGGACGTTTGGTGTTGACGTAAGAGCATCTATTTCCATTTTTGCATTTCACACCGTGGCTATCATAAGAAACGACTATGGGAAACCTAGTATAACCATCTCGTTTACGCTAGGCTAGTAGTAAAATATCAAGACCGCAACGGTGTGCAGCATTAAAGGTGTGAGACACCTGTATGTACCGTACTATGATTACCAATTCGCCCGCCAAGCGTGGCGATTAATGTAATTCCTTTTTACAATGGGAAAACCCAATAATTGAGAACAATCGCCGTAAAAATAATAAAAATAGCTGAACTTGTTGTACACTGATGTGGCTACCCGTGGGTGTCGTATAAGAGACGTCAAAGGGAAAGAAACAGTAGATGTGTAGCAGCGCCTTTCTAATAACAACTAAAAATAAAAATCTTCGATTGTCAACCCGCCTACAAAGAGTGAGAACTATGGCAAATATGATGCAATCTATGGGGGAGGTCTATGTTCAGCAGTGGACTTTTAATAGGCTCAACAGTAACGCTAACCGTGCACATTATCGAATAGTAAGGACAAAGAGGAGTTACCGATAATTACACAATATACACTTTCATATAAGCTAAGAGGCAAGGTGATGTGTTTAGTAAAAATTAAGCGAGAAGTGTGGCAACCGGCTTGGCTTAGCTTGCTACAAACTTATAAGTAAAACTATCTAGCAGCAAAAACGAACATATTGGTCATTGGTCTCTTAAGCTGTTTACCATTGTCTGTTCTTTTTATTTTCATCACAAAAGGACACGATCAAGAATTGAATTGAATATTGTATCATAGTGTAGTCTAGTATATTTGGGTATTATTGGGACACCCCACACAATTATCTCAAACTTCAAAACGCTACTCATCAAATCTAACTAAAACTAAATTAAGTCTATATTTGGATAACCAAATTTTATAACTAGGCTAAATTTTAATCATACACATATAATGCTTTCATTTAATAAACCACTGTGACAGACAGACTGACGGACAGATGCGGCACGCTAAATAGAGAATATAAATGAATGGCGAACGCAATGGCGCCGATAGATTTACTAGGATAATCGTAGACAGAGAAACCTATAGACAAATTGACGCCTTCTTTCGCATCCGCACACGAAAGATAGATTTATGCATACGTCTTGCATAGAAATGAGACAGAGCGGTGTGATTGTTTGTCCCTTTCTCCGTGCCGGTTTTTTTGTTTAGCAAACTACACTTTGCTAAACAACTTTGACAGTTCGTAGCGATCTAAGGAGTTTACAAGGTGGTTTAAGCGAGAAAAAAGTGAGATTGGTGAATCTTGTTCAGTTCAGTTCTTAGAACAATTAAAATTTTTATTTAAAATATGTTTAAAAGTCATAAAGATTATTGTATAACCTAAAACTACGTTATCGTCCTTTCTCACTCGAGGCCACGCTAATCATTAGTCTATAGGTTTCTTTGTCTACGAGGATAATAGACCAACATAATGTCAGAACTTATAAGGAACTACAGAGCTCACTTGCTTAGGACAGCTTCTCTTTATATATGCACATTACCATTTACAAAAGTAAGAAATTATGGACTAAAATATAATCTGACAAAAGTAGTGCATTGTTAATAACAGTCAAAAGAATATTTTTAATACATACATAAATCCATGTTCTATTTTTATAGGGGAAAGCAGGAGTGATGATGATGATGAAATAAACAATATTGCAGAGATAAGCGAAATAGAAGTGGTTTATTCAGATTAAACACTTTCGTTGGTGGTTACATTTGTAAATAAATAATATTTCAAAAATATCTGTTTTGCTCACCCTACCTAATTGGTTTAAAATTACAGCAAAGACGTCGCAATATGGCGCAAGGTCATACATAAAGAAGATATACATATAATATTCATATATCTAATTTTTATTTCCTGTTCTATATAAGAGTGACAAACGCACTGTTCATCTGATGGTAAGTGTATGCTGTGGTCCATAGACATCCACATTTATGCTCAATTAAAAATCAAACTACAGATGCGTTGCCACTACTGAGGACTTAGATGCAGTGGATTGTCTCAAGTAAAAAGGGTCTCCAGTTTTCTACACTCACCATATGAAACAGGGCAGTATTAAGTTGCTATTTTACACCTAAGACTAAATATGAATAACAAATACCTCTGCCATAGCTCGGCGAAACTCTCCTCCAGGAGCCATACCTAACTCACGAGTAATGTGTGCCGACATATTTAATAGTAATATATACATTAAACCGTTGAATACTCCATTCTGAGCCATGGTTGCCCTGTATATAAACAAACAAAAAATCAATACCTCTAGAAAAACAAGTCAAAGATCAATATGATAAAACTACAGACACACCTTATCTTTTTGAAATTTATATTCTTGGCCTCTCTTAAAATAATCTCTTCATCTAAAAGTAGGATATTTGTTCTCTGTTCACACAACTCCACCATAACAATATGAGGATTAACTTCTTGTATAACCTAAATAAAACAAAACTTAGTACAAACTTTTTCATTTAACACAAAATTGAACAATCATTTACCTACCCTAGAAACATCTTCCTGAGATTTAATACTAAAATGTGCTGTCCCCACTAAATATACTTTGCCTCCATCAGGAGTATCCAACACTGTTACAGTGCTAGGCATTTCCTCTGCAAATACACACATAGATATTTAAGTAAGTCACTATAGTTATTGTTAAGAATTTAATTTAAAGTTATTTTATTTAAGTTAAATACCATTTCCATCAGCATTGCTTTCCTTAGAGTCTTCCTTTTCCTTCTCAGGAGATTCTTTATTAGTTTGACTATTGGTAGACATCCCAATATCTTGCTCTCCTACAATTTAAACAGCACTAAATTAATATATCTCATGTAGTGTATATACAGTTTAGTTGAGGTGTAAGAATATATCTACCCATAAAGGATGTTATGTATGGAATGATACAGAGGATCTCAGAGGGAAACTAAAGCATATTATATTCTACTTTGGCCTCTCAATATATTTACGAAAATTTAATGTATATGTACACAATAAGTTAAATTGAAAATTAAGTTATTGTGTACATAAAAAAACCTGATGATCTTTAAATGGCTAAACCGATTTTGATAAAACATGTCTAAGAGCCACTGCTCGAAAACATGCTTCCAAATTAAAAAAAACTGCACCCAAATCAGTTCACCTGTTTAAGAGCTATGGTGCCATAGACAGACACACAGACAGGACAGACACACAGACACACAGACAGGACAGACAGACAGACACACAGACAGGACAGACAGACACCACAGACACACAGACAGACAGACAGCACAGACAGGACTGATAGACAGACACACAGACAGGACAGACACACAGACACACAGACAGGACAAACAGACAGACACACAGACAGGACAGACACACAGACAGACAGACACACAGACAGGACAGACACACAGACAGGACAGACAGACAGATACACAGACAGGACAGACACACAGACACACAGACAGGACAGACAGACAGACACACAGACAGGACAGACAGACAGACACACAGACAGGACAGACACACAGACAGGACAGACAGACAGACACACAGACAGGACAGACAGACAGACACACAGACAGGACAGACAGCCCGCGCCACAGACACACAGACAGGACAGACAGACAGACACACAGACAGGACAGACAGACAGACACACAGACAGGACAGACAGACAGACACACAGACAGGACAGACAGACAGACACACAGACAGGACAGACACACAGACACACAGACAGGACAGACACACAGACACACAGACAGGACAGACAGACAGACACACATAGCGGTCAAACTTATAACACCCCTCTTTTTCATTGGGGTTAAAATCAAAAATAGTTTTTCTAAAAATAATTATGTAAATTCTGTAAATACTAGGAACAAGCACAAGTCAGTTATACCAGTTACTCAACTCCAGAGTCAGTAATACCTTCATGGGGCAATGTTAAATGCTTTTACAACAAAGTTCCAGCAAATATGCAGGCCTTATCTATCAAAAGGTATAAAAAAAATTTATTAACAAAAAATTGTTTAGTAAGGGTTATTATTTCTTTTCATAAATTGCCACAAAGCACAGTGCAATGATTTTTTTTGTCTCATTAGCTGTCAATAAATCTAGTAGCAAGTGGCTTAAAACCATATATGCAGGAGCAACGCAGCAACTACAAGAACTGTTTTCACACAGGTTGTTGGTTCTTCAAGTTATATAACCAACCTATTAACACTACAGGTTACCAACTCATTAATTAGATTATAGTATAGCCACATAAATAACTATTTACACAAGCTTGCAGTTTAACTCCTCAAACTGCAAGCGTTCAAATTTGACCGCTTAGATATTCTGTCAAAATTCAAGAGGTCAAATGTGACCGCACCCACCCACAGCATGTTAACTCATAAAAACTTATGTTTAGAGACTACTTTTCTATGAAGAGGTGTTGGCATTATAGAATCAATATGAAATTTTCTATCCTCTAGTGGAATAAAAAATCAGTCCATGGATATTTATTTATAATCTACGCACATTTCGTCATTGTGCCATTTTCATGTGAATGTTATTGTGTTGATTTTTGGATTTTTCTAGTGTTTTATTAGTGTTTTAGCACAGTGTTTTGTTATAAAATTGTAATGAAAGGTTTTGTGTGAATATAATTTATCTTTTTATGTAAATAATTTCGAATAATATATAGAAATAATTGTGATTTTCATGCTGCCAACATCCGATTGGTATGTTTTTTTGTTATCAAAATACAATAAAATCTTTTTGTAATGAAGGTAAACCTGAATTTCGTTTGAACCACAGGATAGAGAATTTTATAGATTTTGTAATTAAAAGTAGAACTCTAAATATAAGTTTCAATGGTTTAAAGTGCTGTAGGTGTATGCGGTCGCATGCTAAATCCTGTCAAATCATATATTATATTGTTGCGCGCCTAAGTTGACGTCATGTAATGTCAGGGACGAGAGCGGGGGGAGCTTTCCAGCTTTCCAATGACATCACTAATTTTTCAACCGACAGCGCTATCGGGTGTCGAAACGAAGAACTAAGCTTCTAGAAGCCGACACTCGAACTTTCGGCGCCTTTTCGATTGGTGCGCATATTTACTTGTATGTTCTGGATGTTTCGGTGCTAATGTGTATTTATAGGCGCTGCAAGATGCGATCGGGGAAGTATTGAATTTGGCGAGACAAGCGAAGCTTCGGAGCGGAATAAAGTGAATCAGTGTGATTAATTATTAGTGTTTTAACTTTAATTAGTGTAAAGTGAATTAAAGTGTTAATTTTGGTAATTCAATCGGCAGTTTTTAATTGTCACGAACCTCAAGCGCGTAACAATTGGTGTCAGAAGTGGGATAAAATCATGCCGATTTTACCTAAGGAGGAAACGGAGGGTGTCCGTACCCGAAGTCAACGCAAGCAGGAGACGGACCAAAGATTTGGTGGTGCAACGCCGCAGACGTCGGAGGGCCAGCCGCCGGCTGCAGGCCCGTCAGTAGCTCCTACATCTGCAGCACCTGACTTAGGTGCTCTGATGGTGATGCTGCAGGAGCAGGCTCGCCGACAGGAGGAACAGGCCCGTCGTTTGGAAGAGCAGCTGCGGGGCGGACAAGGGGAACAGCTCCGTCGTTTGGAAGAGCTGCTACGGGACGGACAAGAGGAACAGGCCCTTCGGTTGGAAGAGCAGATGGCCCTCATGAAGGACCTTCACGCTACCTTCGGGAAGGATATCAAGGAGGTGAAGGATAGGGTTGCTCAGCATGACAACCCCCTGTCAGAAGCTGAAACCCAAATCGCGAAAGCTGAAACCCGAATCGAAAGTCCGAATAACCAAGTGAACAATCGGGTTGACAATGTGATGGCTGACGTGAAGAAAACGCGGGACGACCTCAAACTGGGGGATGGAATTACAGCTCCCGTAGTAGCTACAACACCTTCGCTACGTGGGTTAAAAGTGCCACCCGTTCGACAGGACTTCTTCCTGGTCAGCTTACAAAGTCCAGTTTGAAGCCGTTATGAAGGCGAATGGCTGGAATAAAAGTCAGGCCATGACTGCTCTCACACTAGGCCTGCGCGATCAGGTCTTAACCGTTCTGGAAGCTCTCGGTGAGGAAGTGACTTATGAGCAGCTCCTTGAGACATTGGAGGCGAGATATGGCGACGCTCACCTAGAACACGTCTTTCACGCGCAGCTTAAAGATCGCGTGCAAAGTGCAGCAGGTGCAGCAATGGGCTCTAGAGGTGGAGAAGCTGGTACGAAAAGCATACCGGTCTATACCTGCGCTCATTGAAGGGAACCTGGTGCATTCATCGACGGCATCCACGACCTGGAAGTCAGAGCTGCTGTGAGGCTCGGGCATCACGAGACGCTTAAGGAAGCCTAGGCCCATGCACTGGAGGTGGAAGCCGTGCAACAGGATCATCGTTCCCATCGCTTCAGGGAGGTTGCAGCAGCTACAGTTCGCAACTGCATAAATGGATACAGCCCTAGGTGCTATGGCTGTGGGGAAAGGGGCCATCTTCGATCCGGCTGCCCTAAGCGAATTGTAGAAAAGGAAGTTGATCGATCTCGAGAGGGTAGTGCAGCTAACGGCACCACCTGGCGGCGGCAGGATCATCGTTCCCCTCACGCTAGGGAGGTTGCAGCAGTTACAGTTCACGACCACAATAAAAATTACAGCCCAAGGTACTATGGCTGTGGGGAAAGGGGCCATCGTCGTCCCAGCTGCCCTAAGCAATCTGTAAAAAGGGAAGGTGATCGATCCCGAGAAGGTTGTGCGGCTAACAGCATCGCGAAGCAGCAGGAATACGACTTTGTGATTGAACACCGCAGCGGGAAATCACATGGCAACGCAAATGCATTGTCAAGAAGACCTTGTCCTGAAGATTGCAAACATTGTACTAGGCAAGAGAGTACAAGGAAGTGGTATCCGTGAGGATGCTGAGGGCAGATCACCTCAGCAACGAGTGGAAGGACAGCTTACAACGTGCACAGCAGGAAGATCCGGACATCAAGCCGATTCTTGAATGGATGAAGGCCAGTGCTCCCAAGCCTAAGTGGAGCGACGTCTCAGTGATGAGTTCGACTACTTAAAGCTATTGGGCCCAGTGGGACAGCTTGCTGCTTCAGGATGGAGTTCTGTGCTGTAAATGGGAAAATGTTCGGGGAGACAGCTGTCTTTTGCAAATGGTTGTCCCTAAAGCTAAAGTACCGGATGTTCTACAGCTGTACCATAATGATTGTTCAGGAGGCCATCTGGTAGTTAAACAAACTCTACTGAAGGTCCGAGAACGGTTTTACTGAGTCCAATGTCAAAACGACGTCGAGGACTGACTGGGCTAAAGGGACCTCAGACTCGTAGTAGAGGTTCGTTGAAGTTGTACAATATTGGTGCACCATGGGAGAGAATAGCCATTGACGTGGCGGGGCCGTTTCTGGAGAGTGAAAGCGGTAACAAGTATTTCATGGTTGTGATGGATTACTTCACTAAGTGGCCAGAAGTCTTCGCCATTCCAAATCAAGAAGCTTCAACAGTTGCAGATAAACTAGTTCATGAAGTCTTCTGTAGTTTTGGAGTACCTTTAGAGATTCACAGCGATCAAGGAAGGAATTTTGAGTCTCAAATATTCCAGGAAACTTGCCGAGTTATGGGTACTCATAAAACAAGAACGACTTCTTATCACCCGCAATCTGATGGAATGGTAGAACAATTTAATCAAACATTGGAGAGGTACCTAGCAAAAGTTGTAACAATCAGCAACGAGATTGGGACAAGCACATACAACAGTTTTTGTTCTCATATTGAAGCGTTGTCCACGAAAGTACAGCAGTGACACCAGCTTTCGCAAACTTTGGAAGAGAATTGCGGCTGCCTGCAGACCTGATCACCGGGATACCACCGGATGCCCCACGCAGTATAACCGATTATGCAAATGACTTGCTGAACAAAATGAATGACATTTATGAGCACGTCAGATAATCGGGCCAGCAAATGTCTGAAAAGATGAAAACCCGGTATGACCGCAAAATGAACAACAAAGGGTTCGACAAAGGTTCAATAGTGTGGTTGCACAATCCAGTCCGCAGCAAAGGGAAATCTAAGCTTCAAGCTAAATGGGACGGCCCATACCGGATTGTAACCAGGATCAACGATGTAACCTACCGGATAAGAAAGAAGAGGACTCATGTCCATGTGGAGCTGGGTTTATGGCCGATAATGCTCGGGACGAGCATGTCTTAGGAGGGGGCAGTGTTGCGCGCCTAAGTTGACGTCGTGTAGTGTCAGGGACGAGAGCGGGGGGAGCTTTTCAGAAAATGACGTCACTAATCTTTCAACCGACAGCGCTATCTGGTGTCGAAACGAAGAACTTCTAGAAGCCGACACTCAAACTTTCGGCGCCTTTTCGATTAGTGCGCGTATTTACTTGAATGTTTCGATGCTAATGCGTATTTATAGGCGCTGCAAGATGCGATCAGGGAAGTATAGAAATTGGCGAGACAAGCGAAGCTTCGGAGTGGAATAAAGTGAATCAACGTGATTAATTATTAGTGTTTTAACTTTAATTAGTGTAAATTGAATTAAAGTGTTAATTTTGGTAATTCTATCGGCAGTTTTTAATTGTTACGAACCTCAAGCGTGTAACAATATATATCATATCACACATATATTAAGCAAATCTACCTTCATTTATTGAAGACACACTGTTGGAAACATTCAATTTAGCATCTCCTCCTCCATCTTCAGCTTTTAGGAACATTTGACACTCATTAACTATGTCACATTTTACACCAGATGGATTTTGGGTCATAAGCAATTTTTCACTTTCCATATTACTATTCAGAGCAGAGTTATCATTTGTGATAAGTGTATCCATTAACTTTCACTGGAATGAAAAAAAAATTAACATTTTGCATTACTTTTACATATTTTATATGTATTTAACAAATCATACTCATACCCAGTTACTCTCATAATTGCAACGATTTAGTAAGCAAATAACGAAATAAATAAATCTTGGATGACCAGTTTTCAATTAAAACTTAATAGATATGTTTTTGTTTTGGGATTACGTACCTTGTGTTTTTAAAAACACCGAAACACTCAAATATTCTGCTATGAGAAAAAATTATTACACCAAATTACACGTTGCAGGCAAGGAAAGAGTAAACATTAAAACAAGGGAAGCAAGGCAATTTCACAAACAGACAGATCACTATCTACGACAAACAAATAAGACTACCTCATAGACTACCTACACTAGCATTCTCTGGCTACGAACTACACAGTAATCTATGAATAGGACAGTACTCTCTGGTTGACTACAGATCATTATATACTAGTCACAGACTACATTATATATACCTGGAAATACTATATAGTCTACGATGGTTGACGTTTAGTTCCAAAAATATGCGCAAAACGGCGCAAAAGTGCTTAAATGTAATGTCACCTAGTGACGTGTAAACTCCTTAGATCGCTACGAACTGTCAAAGTTGTTTAGCAAAGTGTAGTTTGCTAAAAAAAAAACCGGCACGGAGAAAGGGACAAACAATGTTGTCTTTTTTGAGACTTGTTCTTTTTCGTCTGCGAATGCGAAAGAAGGCGTCAATTTGTATATAGGTTTCTCTGTCTACGCCTAGTGATGACCCACAACATGTTATTGAAGTGTTGATTGCACAAAATATCGATAGCATAGTGACATGCCATAATTTTTATAGGGTTAATAATATTTGCATGGTTTATTCTTTATTTCTTTATGTTCATAGGATACGAATATAACAAAAAATGTTACAATAAAACGACTTTAGAGATTTTACTTTTTATAAATTAATCCTCTTAAACTATGGGCTCTAAATTTATCAAAGGCAATTTGTTGAGGTGCACATATCTGTCTTTCTTGCACCAATTATGAACATGGATACGTATCATTAAATTAAGTAACCATTCTTTTACTTCAGTTTTATTATGTGTACACCTCAACCAGTTTACATCCAATTTCTTTATTATTTCAATTTTTAGATGTGTTTTTATACATTTTTTGTAAGCATATTTATTTAGGTAATTATGTATAAGGCCCGGGATATCCCTATATAACATTAAAACCTTCTTTGATAGATAAGTTAAATTGTTATATTTTAAAAGGGTGTATTCCCCTTGTTTGATCCATTTACGAAATTTTATTTGGTATGTTGCACCAATTATGAACATGGATACGTATCATTAAATTAAGTAACCATTCTTTTACTTCAGTTTTATTATGTGTACACCTCAACCAGTTTACATCCAATTTCTTTATTATTTCAATTTTTAGATGTGTTTTTATACATTTTTTGTAAGCATATTTATTTAGGTAATTATGTATAAGGCCCGGGATATCCCTATATAACATTAAAACCTTCTTTGATAGATAAGTTAAATTGTTAAAAGGGTGTATTCCCCTTGTTTGATCCTTTTACGAAATTTTATTTGGTATGTTGCACCAATTATGAACATAGATACGTATCATTAAATTAAGTAACCATTCTTTTACTTCAGTTTTATTATGTGTACACCTCAACCAATTTACATCCAATTTCTTTATTATTTCAATTTTTAGATGTGTTTTTATACATTTTTTGTAAGCATATTTGTTTAGGTAATTATGTATAAGGCCCGGGATATCCCTATATAACATTAAAACCTTCTTTGATAGATAAGTTAAATTGTTATATTTTAAAAGGGTGTATTCCCCTTGTTTGATCCATTTACGAAATACATCTCTTTTTGTTTGGGTATATAAGTCTCAGTGCATTACCTACAGTAAACAAAAAAAATTTCATTACGCCTGTGGCATCGCTTCCGAGCGGTCGCATCCAGGCAGTCCGCGCTTTCGTCCTCGTACGGTAGTGCTCTCCCGCTCTCGCGCCTCCGCTGTCCCGCTCGCGCTGTACAGCGCCGACGCAGTGCTCACTCCGCCGGTGGCATCGTTCTCGGACGGTCGCCTCCAGGTGGTCCGCACTCTCGTACCAGTACGGTAGCGCTATCCTGCTCCCGCGCCTCCGCTATCCTGCTCACGCTTGGCAGCGTCGAGTCTGGTGAGTCACTTCACGCAAACAGTTCTTGCCCCCCTGTCTTCGGGCAGGGAGGTTTGACTGACCTCCGCTTTTTCATTTTCATTTCATTTCATTTTCATTTTTCATTTCATTTTCATTTTTTTTTGCGTCTCTTTTATTTTCCTGTTGTTATTGCATTATTATTACGTGTATATTGTCTCGTAGTACGTCTTGCGTTCAAGTCCCTGTTCTACCGAGAACAGGGACCCGTCCTCATCGTTACCGAGCTTAGCTCTTAGCGTTAAGTGCCTCTGCACCAAAATGGCCACATCCAGCTTCACTGAGTCCCTAGCCGCGCTCATAAACCAATACGGTTTAAATGGCAATGAGACGGTCCTCGCCGCCATCGCCACCATCGCCGCCCAGGCTCCCCTACCTGCCCCTCAGGCACACCATCCGCCGCCAGTAATCGCGACATACCTCGAAACAAGGAACTCTTTCGCCCCCCCTAGAGTCTTCTGCCCCCTTAGAAATGGAGTACGCATGCTCCGAGTCCTCGGCGCCGGCCTCCCGGAAGAGGCCCGCCACCACTTCAGGCTCCGGTTCATCGGAGTCCTATGACTCCGACGGAACCGGGGAGTCTACATTTACCACCGTCAACTCCAAGCGCAACAGTAAGCGCGCCGCGTTAAAACGTACCCCCCTATCTCAGCGGCCCCTGCCGCTCCTACAACCTCCGCAGCCCCCGCCGCTGCCGCCATCCCACTTATGTCACTAGACATCCTAACTCCGACAAAACCATCCTCTCCATGCGCACCAGTCCTTGCTAAGAAGCAAGTCCCGCCCCCTGTCTTCCTTAGAGACAAGGCAAAATTTACCCAACTGTCTAAAACCTGCTACGACGCAGGAATAAAGTACGACCAGACCGTCAACCTCGGGGAGGCAATCAAAATCATCCCCAGCTCGATCGAGGATTTCCGCCAACTCACTAGGCTATTCACAGCCGAAAGAGTCTCTTATCACGCTTACACTCTCCCGGAAGAGCGTAAAGTCAGGGCCGTCATCTGAGGCGTCCCATTCGAGTTCTCAAACGAGGAAATCCTTGAGGACCTTAAGTCCCAAGGCTTCCCCGTGGAAGCCGCGCATAAAATGCACAATAGAACGGGCAAGAGATTCAACCCTGCCCTAGTAATCCTATCCAACGTGCCGGAGGCAAAAGCCATCTTCCGGCAGGTACGCACAGTGTGTGGCCTGTCGAGAGTGAATGTTGAGCCCCCACATAGGCCCGGATTCCCGGCGCAGTGCCACCGCTGCCAACTATATGGTCATGCGGCGGCCAACTGCTCCGCCCCACCCAGGTGCGTTAAGTGCCTCGAACCCCACAACACTAAAGAGTGCCCCCCGGCCCAAAGACGCCGAATCCCCGCCCGCATGTGTCCTGTGCAAACAGACAGGCCACCCGGCTAACTACAAGGGCTGCCCCCGCGCACCTCAACCTCGCCCCAGTAGGCAGGCTCCACCGCCGGTCACTGACCGCTCATTCCCGGCCCTCTCCCAACGGCCCCGTCAGGGTCCTTCTCAGCCCATCCAGCGCTTCTCTCGGCCCTCTCAGGGTCCCCCTAGGCCCCCCTCAGGGCATAGTTCGGCCCCCCTCCGGGCTTCTCCAAGCCCATGCAGCCTCCAGTCTTCCCCTGGGGCCCCAAAAAGGCTGATCCACCGCGGACAACCTCCTACTCCAATGAGTCAGAGCCCACAGCTGCTGACTACAATACACTGTATTCCGCTATTAGGAATATAGACATCAGGGAAATCACGGTAGTAGCACGCAAACTGCGCGCTGCGAAGTCCCCACAAGAACGTCTCCTCGTTCTCGCAGAACATAATGAATCTCCTGTTAGCGTTATAAGTTAAGTTAACTTAATTAACTTAACCTCAATGTCAGAGCAAATTAATCTACCAAAATCTCACGGTCGTATTAAACCTAAGGGTTTATCGCTTGTATCATTTAATATTCGCGGTTTGCGAAATAACCTCCCAGAGCTTAAGCTCTTTCTTCGGAATCGTGAAGCCGATTTCCTCCTCCTACAGGAAACTAATCACAAAACCAAGGACACTAAAGGCCTTTCTATTAAAAACTTCTCTCTTCTTCGTAACGACAGACCCGACCGCCGAGGCGGCGGAACGGCCATCTATTACAAGAAGACACTTCATTGCACGCCCATTTCTACTCCGCAGCTTACCAACATGGAAGCCACGGTATGCAGGCTAGCTACGACTGGACATCAGTCCATCCTCATAGCCTCCTGTTACTTTCCTTCAGGAACCCATCCCCTCAAAAAAGATTTTGAGGCCATTTTATCTTTAGGCAATTCAGTCATTAAGTTTGGAGATTTTAACTCCAAGCATACTGAATGGACATGCCGTACTACGTCCCCTAGTGGCAAGATACTGCTCGATATCACGCAGTCTCTTGATATTACCGTCCATAGTCCCCTCGGTGTTACTCACTTTCCCGATAACACCGATCACGCCCCCGATGTACTAGATTTTGCGTTACTCCAAGGAGTTTCTCTCAACCTCAGAGCAATCGAGACACTAGACGATCTAGGATCCGATCACCGACCGGTCTCCCTCATTCTTGGCCATCAGCCACCTCCCCCAACACACACGAAAACCTTCACTGAAGATAAAGAGGCACAGGACTCTACCATCTCCCTACCGTCGGACTTAGACAGTCCCGAAAAAATCGACACTGCGGTCGATTCACTCTCCACCCTTATTAAATCCTCCCTTAAGGAGAACGAAAGGGTCGTCCCGGTTGCTAACAATAGTGGGCTTCCCCTATTCCCTATTCCCTACATATTAGCAACCTATTAAAATCCAAAAAAGCTGCTTTCCGGAGAGCAGCAAAATATCCCACCCCCGAATATAGGCGCGCGGCCAATCGTCTTCAACGAGAACTCCGCTTCCGCCTCTCTGAATTTCGAGACCTCGAAAAGAGTAAACTCATGGAGAATATCTCTCCATCTCATACAGCGTACTATCAGATGGCCAGAGCCCTCCGCATAGACGCTATCACCCACACTCCCCCTCTCTCCCGTCCCGACGGCACGGTTGCCTTCGAGGACGAGGAAAAGGCTGAGTGCTTTGCAGATAGCATTGCCGCTCAATGCTCTCCTAGCTCTCAACCCGTCGACCCCTCACACGTCCAGGCAGTGGAGGATGAGGTCCACCTGTCGGAACTCACCCCCTACGGCCTCCGAACCTATCTCTGTGTCCAATGATGAGATTTCATCCCTCATCAAAGGACTTAAGCCTAAAAAGGCTCCGGGCGCGGATGGCATCTCCAACCAAGCCCTAAAACACTTTCCTGAGCAGGTGTTAACCTTTTTATCCATTATCTTCAACGCCTGCTTCAACCTTAGTTACTTTCCCACTACGTGGAAAGAGGCAACTGTGATTGGAATTCCCAAGCCAGGCAAGCCTCTCAACCTCCCCCTCCGGTCATCGCCCCATTAGCCTCCTCAAGGCAATGGGCAAGCTCTTCGAAAGAGTCGTTCAAACACGAATGAGGCGCTATCTGTTTCCCACAGACGGTGACCCTCTTATCATTCCCCATCAATTCGGCTTCCGAGCCCAACACTCATGTCCCCAATAAGTTCACCGCATTGTGGAATATAGTATAGTCGTCATAAGACCATCGCGGTCTTTTTCGACATAGCTAAAGCCTTCGATAGAGTCTGGCATACAGGCCTTATCTACAAGCTCACAAAATAGGTCTCCCCGATCGTCTAGTACGTCACGTAGCCTCCTACTTAAAACAACGTACCTTTCGTTTTAGACACGAAGGCACGCTATCATCACAGCGAACTATCAAGGCTGGTGTCCCTCAGGGCTCAGTACTTGCTCCTTTGCTGTACATCCTGTTCACCAACGACATTCCCATCCCGTAGAAAAGGTGTTCAGCTCTCCCTCTTCGCAGACGACACTGCTATCTACTGCAAAGGTGTCTCACTACCCTTCATACGGAACAAGATCCAAAAGTCAGTTGATAACCTAGGAGCTTGGTTCAAAAAATTGCGCATCGATGTGAACCCGGAGAAGAGCTCCGCCGTTCACTTCGATTATAAACGACGCCATCTTAAAAACACCCCACCAATACGTATGCTAGGGACTCCTGTCCCCTGGCATACGACCACCAAATATTTAGGTGTCACTCTAGACACAGGGCTCACTTTCAGGCCCCACGTCAAAAGAGTAACCCGTCACGCACGGTTCTATCTGAGTAGGCTCAACTGTATGTTGGGCCGACACAGTAAAATGTCCCTTAGAAACCAGCGTACCCTTTATAAGGTCTGTATACGACCAGTCATGTCATACGCGGGCCCCGTTTTTGCCCACGCCAACCTTAAAATCATTAATGAACTACAAATAGTTCAAAACCTTTTCTGTCGTCGAGCTGCGAACGCACCTTGGTACGTCCGTAATGCTGACCTTCATCGGGACCTAGAGCTCCCCACAATCCAACAATTTCTCCAAAAACTCTCTGAGAACTTCTTCAAAGCCTCAGAGTCGCACCCAAATCATTTAATTCGTGAGGCAGCTACTTATGCAGCCCCACCCCCCTCTCGCTATCGAGTCCGCAGGCCGAGAAACTCTCTCTCGGACCCGCCTAATAAACTAACTAACGATCTGAACTGCCTCCTGGCGGCTCAGGCCAACTCTAATTAAATTAAATTATTATATTAACTAATATTAATTTGCCTTCGTAGGCACTCCCTCAGCGGCTCGTAGCCGCCTGCGCCCTCTTCTCCCAAAAGAGGGTCGCTCACGAAAAGACACAATACAGCTTAATCAGCCGGTTGCCTGTCCCCAAAGGCGGTATTTAGAGGGTATCACTTAGGGTCCCCGGTAGGACAGTGAGTCCCTCATAACCACGATAGACCGGCTATCGTGGTATGCGTAATGCATTTTCCGCCTCCCTACGTATAGGGTAGCCCTTTAATTGCTTCGGGCGCAAAAAAAAACCTACAGTAAATTTTTTTTGTCACTCTCCTGCACATATAACCTGCTGTATAGGCAGAAGAGTGCACGCGCAATCTTTCATTCACCGAATTTAGTGACCGATTGCAACTGCTAATGTTTTGGTCTTTGTTATGGGTCCACTACATATAGCCTTTTCTTTATCTTCATCAAATGTTGATGTGGAACTCTAATCAACATTGGATGAGGATATGAGTTGAATTAAATCTATTATTGTATCTTCTTTATCATCTTCACAGTTTGCATATATTGAATGTGGACCCATAACATTGGACGGTAGCAGTGATTTAAACGCATTCATAAAACAACAGTTTAGACAACCTTTATTTTTTTTTATATAGGATAGGGTGACAAACGAGCACACAGTCCACCTGATGGTAAGTGTTTGCTGCGGCCCATAGACATCTACATCTATCTTCCATTACAAATCAAAATGCAGATGCGTTGTCACCCGTGAGTACTGAGATGGAATGCCTCATTTCCAGTAAAAAGGGTCTCCGGTTCTTTACACTCACCATACGAAATACAGCAGCATTAAGCTACTATTTCACGCTGGTATTCTGTGAGAGCGTGGTCCTTCCCCGGTCGAGCCGACCCATTCGTGCTACAACTATACTACTAATATAATTGCAGCATGGCTCTACCACGTAAAATACCTTACGAAATTTCTAGAGTTGTAACCTGGATGGGGCTAAGAGAAGGAACTCGAACCTTATAGGTTTTGTTATTTTTGCGGGCTTTCTTGATACTTTTATCAATAAAAATATTTTTTAATATTTGTTTTGCTTTTTTATAGAAGAGGGGGCAAACGAGCATGGGGCTCACCTGATGTTAAGTGACTACCGCTGCCCGTGATCAACCGCAACACCAGGGGAATTGCAGGTGCGTATTGCTGACCCTTTAGAAAGGAGTTAGCTCTTTTCTCGAAGGTCCCCAGGTCGTATCGGTCCGGAAAAATCGCCGGTGGTAAACTATTCCACAGAGAGGTTGTACGCGGAAGAAAACTCTTTTTGAAACGTACAGTGGTGGATCGCCAAGCATCTAGATGGTGTGGATGGTATCGGGACGTTTACCGCGTAGTGCGTTCACGAAATTTGGCGACTGAGCTTAATCCGAACAATTCCTCAGAGCACTCCCCATGGTATATGCGAAAGAAAATGCAAAGAGATGCAACATCTCTTCGCAGCGCCAGTGAATCGAGCCGATCGCAAAGCACTCGGTCGTCGACGATTCGAGCCGCTCTGCGCTGGATGCGGTCATGTATGGGGCACCGAGTAGAACGCCTTTCTGTAGTCTATCCAGGCGGCGGAGAAGTTCCGACGGTTGCGTTTCACCACTTTGCTAATGACCGCGTCAATGAAGAGTGGTTCCTTGGTTCCACGACCACCATCCCGACATACATTTTGAGCGCGTGACATCACCTGATTTAGCTCCAGGTGACGAGTGATTCTCGCGCTCAAAATGGATGTCAGTGTCTTACATATAGTGGGTAGACACGTGATGGGGCGATATTTGCTCGGGTCTGTGGTATCCTGATATTTAGGAACCAAGTGAGTGATCCCAGTAGTGAGGAGGCTCGGGAGCGACTTCAGTCGAGAGCCTCTTGAAACTGTCGGGTGAGCACAGTGTGACACACTATGAACCCCTTCAGCCAGTAATGATGCAGCCCGTCGAGCCCCGGATTTTTCCAGTTCGGGGCCCTACGGACCGCCTCAACCATGTGTTCCGTAGTTGATGAGTGATGGGGTCCATAGGCGTAATACTCGCACCCTGGCTAGCCACAACTTTCATCCAAGGGCCCTCGTTGTGGTTTACGGGCTCTGACCACAGGCCACGCCAGAATGCGATAATATCAGCCTGATCTGGTCCTGAGCCTGCTCCTCATGCCTCTGGTCGCTCCAATGATTTATAGAGCCTCTTCTGATTACTCTGGACGAGAAGATTCTGGTTGAACCGCCTTGACCTCTCGGTAAATCGCTGAATCCGCGTCCCCCAAGCAGCGATTTTTTGCTTCAGGTCATCTATGTGCTCCGTTAGTTTCTGCGTGATATCCGGCTGGGACAAACTGAAATTTGTCCCAGCAAACTCCATTCTAACGGTGCGCACAACCCTCGGTCTATTATTACCTGACTTGCAGCTTGTCAGTTTGCCGATAAGGGCCCTTGATTTTGCGATACGTTCCTCGATTCTTTTTCTCCAGGCTGGGATGGTGCTACTTTGCCTAGTAGCGCGTCCAGCGATAGGAAATTTGGCGCCAATAATGCGGCAAACTACCACTGCGGCGCCAAAAAGAATTGAGTCCGTCTCGCAAAGGTCCCGTCTGGCTTCTAAATAGGTCACCGGCATTGGGTTAAGAGCCCTCACGACAGCCCGATTTCACTTGCTAGGGGTATGCGGGGGAAGTCGCGGTCGATTTTCGAGAGGCATGCTGCGCATTTCAAAATCGCTTCTTCCAATATGCTCCTCATTTGCTCTAGTTCGTGGGAGACTATTTCATCCTCGTCCGAATCAACCACAACTGGAAGACCTGTGGCGGCTTCCACATGTGGATACTGGTATGTCGCATGTGGAGCCGCATCCCCAGCCATAGCCGATTCATTCGATGATGGAATAGCTTCACGTCGTAGTCGTTCAAGTTCGGCATCATAAAATTTTTTCGAGCGCATGATGTGCCGCACTCGGTCTGCCAAGTTTTGTTCCGTGACGGGCATAGACGGCTCCAGCTCAGCAAAAAAGCAATGCATCCGAGCCCTATATGCTATCCCCACAGTTTCTTCCCCTTTATTATTATTATTATTTATATTTTCTACGTTTTCTCAGTTTGTTTTTAACAAAACTGGATTAATGGTTATTACCACGGGACAAAGCCAAGTGGATACCATGAACTTGTTTGGTTATGGGTAGTTTTCTGTAGAGATAAATTTTCTAACTATTCTACAAGTATTAAGTAAAACTGCTTTTTGTAATTGAATATATGTTAGTTTTGGTAAATCTAAAGTTTTTAATGATTGATGAAGCGCTTTTGGTATTACACCAGTTGTAGAGAGGACTATAGGGACTATAATGGCGTTATGCAAATTCCACATTCTAATAATTTCATGTTTTAATTCGGTGTACTTGGAAATTTTTTCATTAATTGTTGTCTGTAAGTTATGTGAATTAGGTATAGCAATGTCAATAATAAGAGCATGTTTATTCGCTTTATCTATTAATGTTATATCCGGTCTATTAAAGTGTATTGTTTTGTCAGTAAGTATAGCTCTGTCAAAATACATTTTGTGAGTGGTATTTTCAAGGACTATTTCTGGTTTATATTTATAGTATACTTGAGTTGGCTGGTCAGTTAATTTATACTTAAAGACAAGTTTTTGGTGAATGATATTGGCTACTTGATCATGCCGATACTTATAGTCCGTCTGAACAATCGCTTTACAGGCACCAGTGATGTGTTGAATTGTTTCTGAAGCATTACAACAGCGTCTACATGTGTCGGTAGGTAAATTTTTTATTTTAATAATATGCTTTTGATAATTGCGTGTCTCTATGATTTGGTCCTGAATTGCGCACATAAAACCCTCAGTCTCAGGGAAAAGCTCACCACGTTGAAGCCATGCGTTCGACGCTAATTTGTCTACGGTAGGTTGGTTCAAATCATGGCGATGTCTTCCATGTAGAGACTTTTGGGTCCATATGTCAATTTTTGTGTTGTTATCTGTAAGTAACTCATTTTTTTGCAATGTTTTATCATGCATATTAAGCGGTGTCAATTTATGATCATTCTGTACTATGGCATTGTGTAGTGATGATATTGCTGTTTTATCATAAAAGTAATTTCTGAGTGTAGTTATTTGTCTGTTATGTAAGTTAACTATGTCTATTACCCCTCTTCCACCTTCATTTCGTGGCAATGTTAGTCTTTGTATGCATGATCTTGGATGGTGTTTACGGTGCCTCGTAAGAGATGTATTTATTTCGCGTTGTAGCTTTTTTAGTTCAGTTTTGGACCAGTGTATTATGCCAAAGGAATAAGTTAGTATGGGAATTGCAAATGTGTTAATAGCTTTAAATATATTCTTAGAATTTAATTGAGATGTTAATACTAAGCGAAGCCTATATCGAAACTGATCTGTTAATGTATTTTTAATTTCTTTATGATGTATTTGCTTAGACTGATTATATCCTAAATACTTATACACTCCATTTTCCTCTAAAGATTTGATTTGCTGTCCTGTTTGCAACTGATAGTTATGTTCATAATACTGTCCAGCTCTTACTGAATTAATGTTGCACTTATCAATACCAAATTCCATTCCAATATCTCGTGAAAATTTTTCCGTTAATATAACTAATTGATCTAATTTATCTTGAGTAGTAGCATATAGTTTTAGATCGTCCATATACAAAAGATGACTGAGTTTTTTTCTTCCTTCTTAGTATGTAGATGATCTTGTGTTCTATGGTATTGTAAAGAGTACCCTATGTTTTTTGAGTTTAACATTTGTGATAAGGGATTTATTGCAAGGCAGAACCAGAGAGGACTAAGTGCATCCCCTTGAAAAATACCTCTCCTTATTGCAATCATATCTGTTTCTATCATTCCATCTCGTGAGTTAATTTTAAGTTTCGTTGTCCAATTGGTCATCGCAGCCTGTAAAAATTGTATTATGTTTGGGTGTATTTTGTATATTTCTAAAATTTTTAATAACCAAGTGTGCGGCATTGAGTCATAAGCTTTCTTATAATCAATGTACATGCTAAATAAATCTTTTCTTTTTGATTGTACCTGCTTTAATACTACTGCATCTATTGTGAGCTGTTCTTTGCAACCCTGACTAAATTTTCTACAACCTTTTTTGTTCTTCTGACAATATGTTATTAGCTTCTATGTGTTCATAAATGGTTTCAGTTAAGCAAGATGTAATTATTTTGTACAATGTTTGTAAACATGTGATAGGTCTATATTTTGCAGGATTGTCAAGATTACTAGGCTCTTTTGGTATCATATACGTTATTCCTGAACTAATGTATTGCGGCAAAGTATGCGGGCTTTGTATGAATTTATTAACAAAATTAAACAGAATCGGGTGGATAGTTGTAAACTTTTTATACCAATAGTTATGTATATTATCTGATCCAGGTGTTTTCCAATTATGCAGTTTTTTAATTACTTTATGGAAAGTGTCTATCTTGATATGTTGAAATTGCATGGCTTTAATCTGTGATGTGTCTATTTGATTTTTGATCCAATCCGCTTCTGTATTATAATGTTTAGGTTCCTCCCATATTGTAGACCAGTAACTTTGTAATTCTCTCGGTGATGGTAAGATATTATTTTCGGAGCTTTTCAAACTGCTGATTTTATTTTTAAAAGGATTTTTTATATTACGGTAGAAAATTTTTTCATTTGAGCAAAATAGAATGTTTTGAGTTTTTCGTAGAGAGCATGCTCTATATCTTTTTAACCGACTACTAGTAAGTTTTAGTTTCTGTTTAAGTGTGTCTAAAAAATGTTCGTGTTTGGTGTTATGTTCTTCGTGGACAGAATGAATTTTATGTTGTTCGAGTATAGAATTTACGCGTTTGATTAATTTTTGACCTCGGTTTCCATTAATATATTGAGTTAGCCTTGCAATTTTTGCTCTTAATTCACTTACTTTGTTTTCTAATCTTTGTTCCCACTTTGGCTTATTATATTTCTTTTGTTTCTCAGGTCCTAACGGATTATCAACTTGTATAGCTATTTCAATTTTAGCTCCGTTGAGCTTAGCTGAAGTCCATGCTGCACAGTACACTAAATTCTGAAATGTTTTAAATTCAATTTCGCTGTTGATATATTGTGGCAATAAAATATTGTTTACATATTATTATGGGTTATCAATTAACGCTCCTTTTTATTATTATTATTTTTGGGGTATCTGTATAGTTTTCTCATCTGGTTGGTTTCTATAAATATATAATTATAAATTAAAATGAAAAGATAAATATACATAAATATCAATAAAATAAAATAAATACAAAAAATACACAAATAAATAAAGATCCAACCAGATGGAAGCCCTCGGCAGGGGGAGACCAAACGGCCGAGGGTTAGGGGGAAAGGGAAAGAAACCGACGGACGATGCGGGCGGTATCGAGGACCACTGCCTTCTGCATTTGAGCCCGGAGCGGTCCGTCACGGAGTCCCAGTCGCCTCAGATGACCCGAGAGGCTGACTGGGATTAGCCCATTCGCAGAGACGACTACAGGAATAATTTCGGTCGGCCAACCACACCACATGTCGGTCACCTCGTGAGCCAGGTCCAGATACTTTGTTCGCTTATCTGTTTCGGCTTTCACGAGGTTCTCGTCATACGGAATGGCAATGTCGACCAAAAATATCCTTGACTGTGCCCGGTCCATCAGCACAATATCAGGCTTATTTGCAAGAATAGTCCTGTCTGTGATGATGGCCCGGTCCCAGTAGAGCCTGGCGCGGTCATTTTCGAGCACGGCTTCCGGCAAGTACTTGTAATAAGGCAATTTCCGGTCCACGAGACCGTATTTCAGAGCGAGCTCCTGGTGTAGAATTCTGGCTACTAGGTTGTGCCTGTGCAAGTACTCAGAGTTAGAAAGCGCCGAACAACCGGAGATGAAATGCCTAAGTGACTCCCCGGGATGGCGACAAGCTCGACAGACGTCGACAGTGCCATCCTTTAGGATGTATCTCCGATAGTTGTTGGTCTTAATAACCTGATCCTGTATTGCACAGACAAAACCCTCGGTTGCCCCGAAGAGGTCACCGAAACGTAGCCAGTTGAGGGAGGCGACTGTATCTACTAAGGGCTCATGTAGAGCCCTGTAGTACCTCCCGTGGAGCTCCTTCTCCTTCCATACGGTCTCCCGGTCGGAAATGCTAAGCACTGCTGGGTCCTGCCATTGCTCGTTGGCCAAGGATAGAGGGGTAAGCCCTTTAGCACAAGAAATGACGTCCTTATAGAATGGATCATCCGATCTCGCCAGGAAGTAATTACGGAGGCTGCACACTTCGCGATTATGCATGGTGAGCGTGCTCAAGCAGCCGCGCCCACCATGCTTTCGCGGCAAGTACAGCCTCATTACCGACGATCTCGGATGATGCATCCTGTGGGACGTCATGGTAGTGCGGACTTTTCTATCCAGGGCGTTAAGTTCAGTCTGAGTCCACCTGAGTCACTATGCCAAAGGTATACATGAGGACAGGCATGACCCAGCCGTTATATGCTTGTGTCTTATTCACACCGGACAAAAGGCTGTTAAGCACTTTGGTCAAGCGTGCATAAAACACGTCGCAATGTGACATTTCATACCAGCCTCATCGATACCGATGTTCTGTGACATACCCAGGTATCGGTATGTTTCAGCCTCGGAAAGGGTCCTTAAGTTGACGGGCATAGATAAGTCTATGCCCTCAGAGTTAGCAACCCTTTCCCTTTCAACGTGGAGGACCGCACACTTATCCGTCCCCAGCTCTATTCTGCTGTCATCTGTCATCTTCTCGCCTAGATGACAGAGAATTGTACTCCACTGCCCCATACACTGCTTGAGGAAGTCTCGAACTGTACAGTCAATCTTGTACAGCTCGAGGACCCTCTTTAGCCATGTATGGGGCACCGAGTCTAATGCGTTTCTGTAATCTATCCAGGCGGCGGAGAAGTTCCGACGGTTGCGTTTCACCACTTTGCCAATAACAGCG